GGCCTGAGAAAAACAAGGGTTAAATCATTTGATTTAGTTTGTGAAAATTTCTTCCACTGGAACTTCAGAAGTCTGCATTCGTGCCATGCATCACAATTGCATTATTACAGACGGAGAATGGCCGCAGTGGAAAGACGACTCGTGGAGCAATCACACAACCAGATCATGGAAACAATTGCAAGTTGGCCCAAAAGCCTCCATTTTCAAATCCAGCCGTGGGTTGATTCAGTCACAAATGGGCTCGCAGACAAAGTGACTCAACTGGCCACATCACTTTGAGGCGTCTGAACCTCAGCAGACTTGCTGTTTGGCGTTCTGCCAGGAGACTGGACTCAAAGAAAAAGGGACAGATCAGGCATCTGGATCATCTGGATGGTTGGAGATTATGAGCGCAGTCGCTTTCACTTTGGGGAGCTGTGGTGGAGGACTGTAATTTGTTGTTTTTGTGCTGGGAGGGTGCGGCCGCGGTCGGAGGGACGACGCGTGGAGGCAGGGGGCTGTCCCTGTGTCATCCCCAGACAGACCGCGGTGCGTGTGGGCGTGCTCTGACAGGGCATTCAAAGGACAACATTCATGCTCCTTTTTTTGTCTGTGTATTTATTCACGTGCACACTCTATTTTCTGTCCATCTTTTTTTTTTTTTTAATCCACACACGTCATGTTGGTTGGGGCCCATTGTGCCTTTTGTAGAATCTTGATGGCGTCTTTAGGTATTCTCATGGACATACATGGCGTCTTTTCTTGTCTTCCACTCGGCTTACTTTTCTTGGCTGCAGAGGAATGCAGAGTATGTTTGTCTTTTTTTATAAGGAAGACATTTGTCGGAAATCATTAACTCTACTGAAAAATTTGAATTACTGTGTATTCTCTAAATTTAACATTCCTTTTTTAAGCTTTGTGTTGCTCTGTTTCTGTTTATCTCCAAATAGGGTGACGAATATGAGCTCCCTCTTGTCTTTTGTCTTTTTGTCCTTTAAAATACTAATGTAAGAGCTTAAAGACAAACAGACTCCCCTCCTCCTGTCTCTTTATCCAATTGCCTTGCCTCCTCTTGGTGAATAAGTGCTTAGATTATATATGTCCTCACTCATGGAACATATCTGCAAGCCAGCACTCAGCGCTAAATTAGTCTTATCAGTGGGAAAAGAAGTAGCAAACTGACATAATCTAAAGCATGTGTAGGTATATATGTGCTAACTTTGATGAACAACTTTGTATAAAGTCAATTAGTCAATAGTCTGAGCTCAGGAAAAAGCAAAAATAAGTCATTCAAGTCCTGGATTGTTTTCAACTTCCTTCATTTTCTTTGACCAGGGCAAGTGGAAAATGATCTTCACTAGAGCTTAACCGTCTCACATCAACAAGTTAAACGTTCTCCAAACTCCTGTCAGCTAGGCCCGCCTTGTTCATACCTTACATTCATTTACACCACCAAATCCCTCTTTGGCATGCTCGATTTTTTAATAACATACCACCTCGAGACTCAGGAATGTGTAAGAACTGCAAGGACAAAGGTGTGGCACCAAACAGAGCGGGGCTGCATCAAAGGCTCTCACAAGACCAGTCAGTGGCAGGGACTCAGGATTATAAATCTTCCTAATCAACTCCGAGGTGATGATTTAATGAGGGATTGTGCAGGGGAGCGAAATACCTATGATCTCAGCATATGATGTGGCGCAGTCAGCTAACCACAGCGGCTCTCTGGGAGACGGTACACCCTCCACTTAATGGCGCGCGCAGACAAACACGCCCACTTACACGCAAGATCTGCTGAAAACATTAGCCTGCGCACTGCAGGCGTGACTCGAGCCCAAATGAAGGGGCCAGGAGTGAGCGATGTGTTATTTGAACGTATGAGCCCCTCAGTCCCCCTGGAGCTCCGGAGACAAACAGACACAACACAGATTGTTTGGACAGAAAGGTATTCAGGATACAGTTGTGAGAATATTGGTGTAAAGTGCAGCTGTAAATCCAGCTGTTGTTGCAAGCTCCGGCTTGATCCTGCAATGCCATTACCCAGGGACCTAATTCCCCCCTATAATTAGAGCTGTATCTGTTAAATGCTATTTAGTTTTCCTCAATTATTATAACAATATGTTCATTCAGCTGCTATATAACACAACTAGAAATCTCTTAAAATCAGCCCTGTGACTGAAAAGAAATTGTTCTTATAATGTATCCCTGTAAATAGATATTTCCCATTAGTATTAGTAAAGCCCCATAAAGGAGAGAACAGCTCGATAAAAAAAGTAAAGGTTCAACGCACACAAAGAAGAAAGACTCAGCTTAACATAAAGAACATATTTTATGTTCCATGGCAACTCCGAACAAAATTCCCCCAGTTTAAAGTATTCAAAGCATCTATTTTTAGGTTCGAAGCTGTGTTTATGATTTTTTTGTACACGACTCTAAACTTTTACTGGCTGTAAACTACCATCTCATTTGGTACAACATCAGAAGTTTATTTTCAGACACAAGTGGGGCGGAGTTTCTTCCTCACACAAACAAGAAACCACATTTCTCCAAAACAGCTCTATCTGTCACACCGAGGCTGCAGGAAAATGTAATTTATGTGTGCTGAAAATGGCACGCTCAGGTTTTTTTTTCCCTTTTCCCACCATTTCCTGTTTGAGTTAGCATTTAAGATGTGAAAATATTGCGTTTCATCAGTGTAACTGTCCTGTGATTCAGATTATAGGGATGCAAAGTTGGTCAGAAATGGGGCGGCGGCAAAAGTTCGGACCAGTCATCTAACAAGCTGAATTTGTAAAGAGTAAACACCCTACACAGTACATAAGACAAAATGAAAAGCAGATCAGGCAAGTGCTTTGGTATTCCATATTGTGTTGCATTAGGCAGTTTATTGAGACTCAGACTGTGTCACGTCAGTGACCTTATTTCAGAACTTCAAATGGTCTCGTTCAAAGGGCCCCCTGCTCTGTCCCTCTATTAAGAAATATAACCCAACGTAAGAAACAGGATTCCCCTGCCATGCCCAGCCTTTGTGTCCATTATTGTAGCTCACAGTGCAGCACAGTGCTCGGTCTCGGTCAGACACGTTCCCAGCCAGAAGGAGCCTCAGTCCAGACTCTGCCTGCAGTATGTCATCTTCTCCGTCTCTGTTGGTTTAGATTGTGTAATAACATTTGGAAAGAGGTGCTTTTTTGCTTTCCCCTCCATGTCTGCAATCTCACTTTTCAACCCCCACATCTTTTCGCAGTTTTCTCACAGTCTTAATTCGGAGCCGAGACAAACTTTGAACCTCGGAAACTTCAGCACTTATGTCGGAGGCCGTCTGACAGAGTTGAGCGGGCGGTCTGAAGTCTGTTTTTCTTGCCATGTCTGAGCCTTCCAGCTCCATTTTTGCAAGTTGTTGCCTGCGCTGAGTCCCTGTGGTTAAAGCCCGCCGTCGCATGTTGTTGTAGGTAGTGAAAAGTTGCTCCAGAATGATCCATCATGCTTTCAGTTTCAACTCCCTTTCATTTGTCTGCCAGACTTTCACTGTGTGCGATGTCCCTACTGTGCTTAAACCTATCTTGTCCTCTAATTATACCGCTGCTCAGACTCTTTGGCAGTCCCCACCTGATTACTTCCATATGTAGAAACATGGCTCATTGGTGGAAAGAGGGCCCCCTCATCTTTCTTCTCTCGTCTCTCCCGGATAAAAACTTTCATTTGCTGTCAGTAAGTGTTGTGTCACCAAAAGTCGTTAGCGTAGTAAAGTCTATGTCTCCTATCTCTGCCTTTAAAGGACACAACTTGAATGCGTCCATTCTGTGAAGCATGCTTCACTTTAAGAATTTTGGCTCGTGCAACCATTTCTTCTACTGAGTTACAACCGTGAGCCGTGTAACCCGTACTGATGGCAGTGTTAAGCGGAGCAGAGAACCACTCTGAAAAGGGCTGCATAAACATGTCTGATTCAAAATTCCTTTTTTTCGCTGCTTCTCAAAAAATGTCGTAAGATTTGCTTTGCGGAGCAGCTGCAGAGTTGTTGTTTTTTTGGCAGATTTTTGTTGTCAGTTCGCTCTGGGGACTGAATGATAGTGTAGTATTGAATATTTTACAAAAAGACTTGAATTGACACCAAGAAAAGAGATGGAAATTTGACCCAACAACAACAATGTTGGTGGGGGGTTTTGCACCAAAATCTGAAGATAATGCAGAAAAGAATACTTTGTGAATACCAACCATTAGTTAGGAACAGAGTTCTTTTGCATTATTTATTTTTTGTTTATGTAGGCAGTTTTCAATAGTGATACCAAAACTATTTGCTCAGGCTGGACATTTCCCAGCCCCAGCATGGACAGAGAGCACTGATAAGAGCCTCACACTATCACTTCCAGGGTGTTTTTGCACCATTTAGCTTAATCTGACTCTGGATTCACCTCTGCTTGCCGGTTTCCTCACAGCTCTGCTTTCTCTCTTTATCACTTTCCTCTGATTGTTCTTTTTTGCACTTCAATAAACACAATGGGAGACCCAGCTCGACTGCAGTGCACTGAGTATGTGCCAGAAACTTCCATTCAGCCAGCAGCGTTCCCACAAAATCTTCAAAACTTCAAAGATCTTTCCCATATGTCAGAGTGAAGCCGTTACACAGATCAGTGACTTTACCTGCTGTACTGTTGGGCTGTACTGACTGGCTGGACTGAGGCTCAGTCTTTCATGCTGATGTGGTCTTTACAGTTCAAAGTGAACACGTGGGCTTTTCATTCTGTCCGCCTTATATATTAGATGTATATTTAATCATGCATTAGGTACTGAGTGCACTAAACCATATGCCCGATCATCAGGCTGTTCACATGAATATAAAGGTCATATAAAAGTGTCATCGGTGGTTCTAAATCTGCAGGTTTAGTCCAGTGAGGGGTGAGAGTGAATGCAAATGGAAGAAAAAGAAAGTCTATTTCTGTAGTTTATTTTACAGCTTTTTCTTGCTTTTTCTCAATGGTATTTGCATTTGTAATTCTAGCTCTGATGTCTCTTCCCCCTTGCAGTTGTTTGTCCTCTCACATGCATGAATGGAGGAGTGTGCAGCTCCCGGAAGCACTGCCTGTGCCCCCCCGGCTTCACCGGGCGCCTCTGCCAGTTCCCGCTCCAGCAGACGCAGCAGCCCCAGGCCGCGCGGGGCAACGAGCAGCCTGTGTACCCCATACCCCTAAAACCGGAAAACCACAAGTTCCTGGAGGAGTCGGGCTTCGGTCGCACCCAGCTGACGCAAACACACTCCGTTTTCAACCTACCCGTGTCTCAAGTGGGGCACCACTCATCGGAAGGTAATTCTAATTTTTCCTCAGCGTGTTTGGTCACGTGATGCGTGTCCGTTTTTCTGATGTCTGCGTCCTCTCTGTTTTCAGTCCAGATTAACGTACGCGTCCACCACACGCCAGACACCTCCGTGGTCATTCAGTCTGTCGACCAGTCGGACACCAAGCCTCCTCACAAGTTGGGTCCGCGGCTGATCCATCACAAACCAAAGGGGCGCTGCTTCCAGGAAACCACACCCAAACAAGCAGTGAGCTCAGTCCCGTTTAGCAGCTGTTGGTACTACTCCTGGCAGATGTAAAACTGAAGATGTTTCTGCGTCTGTAGTGCAACAGCACCCCGCTTCCTGTTCTGACCAATCAGGAGGAATGCTGTGGCAGCGTGGGAAACTCGTGGGGACAAAACAAGTGTTATCAGTGTCCCAAATTACCAAGTGAGTTACATGGACTAATGCTTTAAATCCAGCATTGTAGATGTGCAGATTTTCTTTACATGTGAAAAAAATGCTTTTTATTAAGGTATTTAACCAAATATCTATCCAGTTAACATCTACGTTCCTGGGATTGAAATATGGTATATCCGGCCAAAGACAGCATGTGTACATATTTAGACCAGGTCATTCTTACGTTTGTTGTCCCTGGATAAAAAAAAACACTTCCACTCTTTTAAATGTAGTCTGAACATGTGCATGAAAGTTACTGGTGTGGACTTTGTTGGGAAGGACAAAATGTAAGAAATGATGTGACTGTGAGACAGAAGAAGAGAAAGTGGAAAATAACCCTCTACTTGAGCATGTTCCTGTGGGCCTACCCTGTGCAGGACTTTCATGAAGATTGAATTTCAAGAAAAATCTTGGCTGCTCACGTTTTTTCCACTCTGCTATTATTCCATCTTTCAGTTCTGGCTCAGACAATGCCGCCTTTCACAAAACCTGATACTGTACGCCTGGTTGGTGCGTAGAAGACAAGGTCCTTGCCCAGAGTGCTGTCAGTTTTGTTACACATGTGTCTATTGTGTAGCGCCTCCTTCTTCATGAAAATAGCAAAGATAATCCTATGAACTTCCCCTTTTTTCATTCTTTTTTTTTTACAGTGTGCAGTGTTCCCGCAGATCTCTAGTAAAGCTGCCTCACGTGTTTTCACTCCCTCTTGGAGGAAAAAGCCCTCCTCTTGGCTCAGGGATCCAGAACAATACTATAAATGCGGATTTCTTTTTGGTCCTATTTTTCACACTTTGGATCTCATTTGTTCACATATCATTAAAAACCTCATCAAGTAGCTATTTTCCTACCTGAAATACATATCAGAGTTTAGAAAATAAGATTTTTCCTGAGATGCTTTTATCTGTAGATAAGTCACACAAGAGTTACCCACCTTCCACCTTAAGAAAAAAAAAAGTGTCCTTTTTACAATTTGCAAGAAAGAATCCCACTGGCTCACCTCACCATGCTGCAGATGAGGCAGCAGAACTGTCACAGTACAGTTAAAAGTACAGATTAGATATTCCCTCTTCTGCTCCGGCTTTCCTCTGAAGCTTTGATGGCATCATGTGTTTGCACAGGTGAAAAGCGGTGGAAGTACTTATGCACAGAAAGAGCAAAAAAGAATTCAAACGCTATAACTAATTACCATACCTCAACAGCCAGTTTGAGAACCAGTTCGGAATTAATTCAGAGTTTTGGAAAGATAATAAAAACCTGCAGCATTAGAGGATTAAGGAAATACCTTGTGTGTCATAAAGGTTATGGTTGAAAATCTTTATAGAAGTCCATTGACAGTGTTAAATCCTTTTTTTTGTGTTTGAAATTATTCACTTTTGATGGTCTAAATGGTCACCAGTCAGAGCTACATTAAATTTAGGAATGAATATAATTATGCTGCATTGCTCCTGCCTTAGAAGTTGAAACTCTAAGTTGAGTGAAAAAAGTCATAAAGCAAAGGTTTGCTGTGTGACCGGGCTGCCGATTTGCATAGAATGCAGAGAACTCATTACTTTAGATTATGCATAAAAAAACACAGCAGCAACAAAGGCACTGATGGAAATGGGGAAGAACTTTCCATGCAACGGATTTAATAAGACACAAACAAGAGATGCTAACAAGCATTCGGCTTTTTTATGCATTGCTTTCACCCTCCTGTCTTTCCCCTGTCTCATCAGATGCATCAGTCAAACAGACCATTGTGGAGGAGTATGGCTCTACCTGTCCACAAGGTTATAAAAGATTCAACACTACTCACTGTCAAGGTAACATGAGCAAGACAGCTCAGTTTTTTTAGACCATTTTTCAGTTTTGATCAAATTTTCAGCTTATTTGCTGAAGCACGGACTTCCCTCGTGTTAAGGCTGATCTTTTTCCATCCCTTTTCTTGACTTGAAGACATCAATGAGTGCTCCATGCAGGGCGTCTGTCTGAACGGAGACTGTCTCAACACACTGGGCAGTTTCAAATGTTCCTGCAAGTCCGGTTTTGTCCTGGAGAGGAATCGATGTGTTGGTGGGTAAAGAGACCACTATCTTTTTCTTTTCTCTGTGCTTTTCTTTGGATGTCAGCTGTTTGTTTTCCCTCCAAACTTTGTTATTTGAGAATTTTCAAGTCATTGAAATTTTTTTTACTTTTATCCGTCTTCCCAACCCCATAGACGTCAACGAGTGCTCCATGCAGGGCGTCTGTCAGAACGGAGACTGTCATAACACGCTGGGCAGTTTCAAATGTTCCTGCAAGTTCGGCTTTGTTTTGGAGAGGAATCGATGTGTTGGTGGGTAGAGAGACCACTATCTTTTTCTTTTCTCTGTGCTTTTCTTCAGAGACCGGCGTAGGTTGTTCTCCCCTTTCTGCTTTGCATCACATGCTCGCTGAAATGAAAGGTTGTTTTCCTTCCAACCTGAGAAATGCCTTTTGTGGAATAAAACCCTGTTGCGTCTTGTCCCCAGCTGAGCAGGCTCAGTGCTTCCGGATGGTATCCGAAGCCAAGGGCTGCGAGCACCCTCTGTCAACCAAAATCACCCAGGAGATGTGCTGCTGCACAGTGGGCAAAGCCTGGGGCCGGAACTGTGAAAGGTGTCCTCATGTGGGCACAGGTGAGTGGTTTTCAATGAAGAAATCATTCCGTAATAGCACGCTTTAACTCATCCTTCCTTGGACTTAATGCACTCTTATGTAATGGTGACCTTTATCTGCATGTAAGTACATGAATCACCTAACTTAGGAATTCTCACCTCAAGCTCATTAGCTCAATGATCACTTCCATCCATTTCGAGTGATATGTTCCTTTGATTATTATATTGTTTTTCACATACTTTTAATTTCTGTGGACAGTTTGCTCGGCACAAGAAATACTTTCAGTATGGGCTGAAGGTTTTGTCTCTGTATTTTGTTATATACTGTATATATCTTTTTTTTTTTACATGTTGCCACAGTGACAGATCCTGGCTGATTCTCTTAGGATCCTTATAGCCTACTTATTGTAACTCTGCTTTGACTATATATAATTTTTATCAAATGTTATTATTTCTCTTGTCATGTTTACAATCATGTAAACCAGAAATCTCTCAGTTCTTTGGTTTAATGTATGAAGTTATGGCAAAATCGTCATCTCACCCTCCAAAGTCTTGAATGATTTATTTTTAACACGTATTGTTGTGGATTTGCTGGTCTGTTTCGGATAATTGTCACGTTGCATGGATCACATCGGCCGATCTTCAGCTGTCAGACTGTTTAATTTCTGCCTGGAATATTTGGCTGCACAGAGGAGGCTGCAAAATAAGGCCAAACCAAGTCCAAAACCCTCTCCTGTAAATCACATCCGTTTGGTTAGGTTGGCGGCTACTAAGCCATATAATTTCTATAGTAACAGTAAGGGAGTACTTAAACTTATATACTCTGCATCCACGTTTTGTTAAATTCAGTGTAAATTTTTTTAGCTAGACAAAGGTGAACTTTCTTTTTCACATCTAATTATCTTTGTTTTCCTTTGAGTTTCTTTTAAGACTAAAACTTGAAGTATATTTTGTTTGGCATGTTAGATATTAATGAACGGAGACAAAGGAATGAATGAATGAATAATTGTATATTTCTTTGGTATTTAGCGGCCTTCACTCAGATCTGTCCTGCTGGAAAAGGATACTCTTACCATAGTATAACAGAGACTGTGGCTTTCCCTCCAATCATCTTTCCCCAAATATATGACACAAAAGGTCAGTCCATGAAGACTTCAAATAAACTAGATGTCTGATCCCTCTGATTGTAGCTCTAAAGTACTTGTAACTCTTTAGTATTTTAATTATGGTCTATCATTTCTATTTTTAGAACAAGAGGAGAGGGTGGTAAGACTCTTTTTTGTTGATAGTAAGACCTGTTTATTGTTTCTGGTGTTAAATATTCTTTCTTTGTTTTATTCTTTTTTTTCTTTTTCTTTTTTTTGGCTGTCATTTTAGGAGAAGCCTTCAGAGACATCCACTGTGCATCACTCTCACCCCAACACCAGCAGTCAACGTGTGCCTGGTAAAAACTCACCGTCTCACGCACTCATTCATAACACCAAATCCACTGATCATCGTTTAATCTCTAGTGTTACTAAATGTACCTCAACAGGCTCTATAAGGGGGAAAGTTTATTTTTTGCTGCTAACTGGCAGAAAAGTAGACAGAAATGTTGCTCTTGTGGGGGTTACAACTAAAAAAAATCAGGACTAAAGTTCAACATGTCATAGTTCCTCCTGAAGTCTGTCCACTTCATTTCTCCTCTGTTGGATCCACAGTTGTTAAACCTTCCCCTCCAACAATCATCCGAATGAACCCAGGCAATGACCCCCTCGAAACACAGATAAAAGTCTTCCGTGAGTTTCACACAAATTCTGTTTTCACCTCGTAAAGAGTTGCATTTGTAAACGCTGGTTCATGTTTCATGCACCCCGGAAATGGAAAATCCAGCCCTCTACATATTCCAGTGAGAGCAGATTTTGTACTGAGCTTTGGGTCCATCTCTCGCAAATGACATGTTGACTTTTTCCATGCATTAAACAGCTGTTTCCATGGCTTTCATTAGAGTAATCACGCATTTTCAACACTTGGGATAATTCACGGTGCTAGAAATAGTTTGAAATTAGTAGACTTCAACACTAAATCGAGTCTTTTGCATGTTTTCCTTTAATGATTAACTGATGCTTTTGGGTGCTGTGCATGTTGTGTGCAATCAACCGTGAAGCATGAACCAGCCTCAAGGCTATGTTCACACTCATTCTTTTTCATGGAAGTTGCAATAATTGCTTCATGTTATGTACTGGTGACTAAAGAGAAGCGACCTGATACACATTGCAATTCCATAAAAAGTAACAGGTTTTCCCAAAGACATCAGAAATAAGATGGAGGGGACAAAGTAGATATGGAAACCACTTCTGAGACTTACCCTGTCTGCTTCATGTGCTGTTTGACTGATTCCAATATGTCTTGTGTGATATTTTTAAAGAAAGTATTACTTAAGATATTCAAGACACTTTCTCTCCAATAGCAGTTTTTCCTTTCTGACATGTTTGGACTTAAAGGTGATGCCATTTTAAAATCTGATGTAGTGTGAACATGGCCAAAGACAGATGATTTATGTTATGGCATGGTTTGTATATATTTTAAGTAATCACAAATCACATAGTCATATGTGTATATACACACTCATAAATCTTTGTGTGTATATATAAATATATGTATATGTGTCTATATATATATATACATGAATGTGACATTTGTTTATTCCAACTCGTAGCAGAGATAGATGAATGTGGGCTGAGCAGAAACATTTGTGGTCATGGGGAGTGTGAGAACAGCCCGAATGGCCGCATCTGTCACTGCCACAATGGCTACCATCTCAACCACCAGAGAAACATCTGTGAGGGTAAGATACTTATCTGTCAACATCCCCCCAAGAAAATGAAAACCAGCCTTTTGCTGCCGTTCACAAACAGTGTTAATGAATTGGACGTAGGTTGGAATAGTTATACTATTGTGATACAAACCATTTCTTATCATTTGACTATACAAACCCATTCTCATTTTTTATTGGATGATATGGAAAATTTAAAACAAATGAATGAATGCGACATTTACTTAGACTTTACTTACAATACAAACACAAGATACTTCATATTTAGTCTTAGAATGATCTATTATTTCACTGCTTTTGCATATGTTGTTGTAGAATATGCATGTTTATCTGTAATAATCAGTTTTCATTATGTGACTTCATTGAACAGATGATAATGAGTGTGAGACGGAGCCGTGCGGCCATGGTAGGGGACGCTGCGTCAACACAGAGGGGGCATACAAATGTCTCTGTCGCCCGGGCTACAAACACATGGTGCAGCACGGAAGACTCAAGTGTGTCGGTGAGCTGAACTAAGTGTCTGCTTTGTTGAAATGTTGTCTTCTCCCACAAGCTCTCAGACACCACATTTGCTTCCATTTTCGTATTTTGCAGATATGGATGAGTGCTTAGAGCCAGACATATGTGGTCTGGGAGGCATTTGTCGAAACTTGCCTGGGTCTTATAAGTGTGACTGCCACAGTGGCTTAAGGAGCAAATCCCACCGTCATCCAGCCTGTGAAGGTACAAAGACACTGATCAGTAGGACTTTAGCCCATTGAGACCAAACTTTGCTTAAAACAGCCTCGTAAAACCTGATGAAGACTCAAGACTGTCCACTAATACCTGTCATTTTCCTGCATTGGAAGAATTTTAATAGATTAAATAAAACCTTTTTTTGAAATGTTTGACACAAAATTATTTTTTTGTAAGTTGTTGGCTTTAAATTCCTGTTCATCAATAGCTCTTTAAAGCGATGGTAGTGGGGGAAAAAGATTATGCGATTGTGTCATTCCAGACTTGAAAGGTGAAACAACTACACACTACATATATTGCTTCGGAATGTAAATGGGTAGAGATACAAATGAAAAGGTTTTCCATTAATTAAACATATTTACTAATTTAAACATTTATGTGTTCTACGCGTTCATTCCAGACATCAACGAGTGTTTGAATCCTGACACCTGTCCCAATAAGCAGTGTGAAAACACATTGGGCTCTTATGAGTGTGTTCCTTGCTTGCCTGGTCATGAGGCCCATGCTGGAACTTGCTACGGTGAGTCAAATACGCTGTTCTACAGTATAGTAAACAGGATTAATATCATAATGTGTTTGGTACCAGCGACATTGTGAATCTGTCCTGCATTAGTTATCAAGGTTGGTAAATTGGAGAACTTAGAGACAGTTTCTATAAGTCTGGTCTAAATGTTAAATCCAGCATGTGTCTCAATATGTGTTGTATTTTATTGGCAGATATTAATGAATGTCAGAAGCCTGGCATGTGTCCAAACGGGCGCTGTGAGAACCTCCCTGGTACTTACCGCTGCCTTTGCAATGAGGGCTTCCTCCATTCAGTAGACAGCAAAAGCTGCAGTGGTAAATAATGATCCCCTCCCTCCAACATTACATCGATTTTTATCCAAATATATCTTGAATTTGTGGCTGACTTTAGATATCACATTTTTCCAAACAGACATTGATGAGTGCGCAGATGCTCGGCTGTGCGCTTATGGCCGCTGCATCAACACGGATGGCTCCTTCAAGTGCCAGTGCTACCCAGGATACCAGCGCACACAGGAGGGCAGCCACTGTGAGGGTATGAAAAACGGATCTAATGCATTCCACACAGACCACCAAACATGGACCGAAGAAACTTAAATCCTCTTGGAATCGGAACAAATCATTTTAGTTCAGCCATTTGATTTGTAATTTAACTTACTTTTACTCATTTACAGGTACAGGAAACATAGAATTCACTCCTGCAAACTAACTTTAAGTTGATGGCATCAACTAATATTTGGTCTTTTCTATTTTTGGCATTCAGTTTGAAATGTGACTTGATTTCACTGCTTGTTGCTCTATTAACACTGAGCTATTTGTATTTGCAAAGATTCTTTGGCAGAAGTGGGGTGTTATTGAAAGGAAATGCTGGCTTAGCACATTTTTGGCCAGGACTCTGTACTTTGAGTAATATTTCATGTTACGTCGTTAGATTTTTTTTTTAAAGCTGTAAGGAAACACGTGATTAACATATTACACTAACTGGATGGTTGCTTGGACAGTTTTGGTTACTTTCTGCTCAGTGTTGACCCCTTTTTTAATCTTCCTTTTAGATATCAATGAGTGTAAGACGCCATCTAACTGTGTAAGGGGCCGTTGTATTAACAACATGGGCTCATATCACTGTGAGTGCCAGAAGGGATACACACTGGTCGGAGGCAGGGAATGCCAAGGTCAGTCTAACAAAAAACAGGAAAGAATATAGAAACCCTTTTATTTTCATTTATTCAGAGTGACTTGTCAAAGAGATTAAAGGTCTAAGCTGTGTGATCCGGATATCTCTGCACCTTCATTCCAGTTTTTTTCTTTTCTTTTATCAATTCTTGGCTTATGTGATCTTTCTTTCAGACATAGATGAATGTGCCATTGACAGAAGTCTCTGCCAGCCGTACGGCTTTTGCGAGAACAGACCAGGCTCATATGTGTGTGTCTGCAATCACGGCTATGTCCTTTCAGAGGATGGACACTACTGCGAAGGTGGGCATTTGCGCACACCGTTTTAACTGCAAAGTAAGGAGATGTGCTCATCAAAACCTTTTATTCTTCTTTTGTCCTGCAGCAGTTCGAGTGCTGACTGATGAGAAGAAAGAGTGCTACCTGAACCTGGACGACACTGTTTTCTGCGACAGCGTCCTGGCCATCAACGTCACCAAACAGGAGTGCTGCTGCTCCATTGGCGTGGGCTGGGGAGATCACTGCGAGATATACCCTTGCCCCGTCTCCCACTCAGGTACGTTTTCACTGTCCCGTGAATACAAACGTGAGATAGCTCCAATTTGGAATTGAGGTGTTGTTCTCCTCTATTTCTGTATGTACATCTAATTATACTCCTGTCTTCCAAAACCCAGCTGAGTTTCACTCCTTGTGTCCAAATGGACAAGGCCTCTACTATGAGGAAGGATTCCAGTACAGTCTGCCTGCCTATCATGGTAACTATTGACTTATTCCACGAACAGCAGTTGCGAACTCAGATATTAAACCGACCGAAAGTAGCAGTGGAACCTTAAATGCTTCAGTGCTCATCTTTACCCAAACATACAGGTAATTCCTCACGTTTATAGATCGTCAAAAGAAGCTTGTTCCTTCTTTCTTCACAGATATTGATGAGTGTTCCTTGTTTGCTGAGGAAATCTGTAAGAAGGGTCGCTGTGAGAACACGATGCCAGGCTACGAGTGTTACTGTCAACAAGGCTTCTATTACGATGGGAACCTTCTCGAGTGCATCGGTAAGAGCTCTGGTACACGGCAAACAATGGCACCTCAAAGATTTCTCAAATGAATTGTGGAAAATTTTAAAGCTTCTATGTGCAGGAAGTTTTGTAGATGTTCGGCGACAGATATGTAATGTTGCTTTGCGGTTGTATATTCCCCCTCAGATGTCAACGAGTGCCACGACGAGTCTCTGTGTACTAATGGTCAGTGCGTCAACACTGAAGGCTCCTTCTACTGCATCTGTAACCAGCCCTGGACACCAGACTCCAACAAGAAGAAGTGTGTGATTGCCACGGTAGCAGGTCTGCAAGCTCTTTCCTCTGAACTTAAACTGCTTACAAGTACAGTGGTTGCTGGTGGGATTTAATAATGAGTACTGATGTTTTTTTCTTTTTTTTTTTCTTTGCACAGATGTAAATGAGTGTGAGGACCCAGAAAACTGTAAAAATGGTTTATGTGTGGACACTTTTGGGTCATACTACTGTGTCTGCACTCCACCCTGGACCCTTGCCATTGACCGGAACAGTTGCATAACTCCAGAGGAGCAGGCTGGTGAGTTCAGACCCTCACCAACAGTTACACCAGACAGCCAGGCGCAATTATGTGCTTCTTTTCTGAGAATGTATAGATAATAAATGGAGAATTTTCAGTCATATGAATTACAAATGATGTAAAATAGGAACAGTTTTATCCATGAAGATCTACATTTTATAGAAGAAAGGGTAACTCCTGATTTTCCGTTTCAGTGATCATAAATGATAGGACTAAACTGGTCAGGTGAAAATCCATATTTATATCTGTACTTATAAAAAGTGTCCAGACAGTTTGAAATTTTTCATATTCGGCCATTATCTAAAGCTAATAAAAAATGTGAGCCGTTATTTCTCATCAGTTTATACATAATTAATGTCTTTGCAAACCAAAATCAAGTTTTTGGATTATTTTGCAGATTGATGATGACACAAGGACATACAATCAAGCACATCACAAACTTTGTTATAACTCTCTGAAATGATGTCTGTGTGTTCTACATGTTTTCTGTGAGAAGCTTTGATAGAATGAGTTGGGTCCACCTGTGTACACTGGATTTACCATAGTTACTGTAGTAATGACAACTCTTTAAAACCCTGACAGTGGTTATATTAATGAAAGGAATAGTCTTTAAACCTGCTAGACAGCATTGTGTCAAGCCACAGCATCCTCCAGAATTTTGGAATACGGTTAAGATTAGTAGTATGACACCACAAACAGCTGTCCTTGAACTGGCTTCACATCTAATATTAGTTTCCGGAGACAAAGACCTGTTTAGACATGTGATCGACATGCCAGTGGGCACTATTATTAATAACATCCATGTTGTCAAGCATGGTGAAGGCAGTATCATTCTGTGTGGATCTGGGTCTGGGACTATGGTTAGAATACATTTTTAGTCAGAATCTCTTTTTAAAAAATGGATGAAGTAGACCAGCCAGAGTCTGGGTCTTTTTCATTTGTGACCATGGGATTCTATGTGTAGGTTCATGAGAAGAGATTAGCAATCTGTGATGCTAGTTAGCCTTACACCACTTCAGTGGATTCATTTTGTGGTTCGCCTAAAGTGAATGTTTCAATTGAGGAGATCAGAACAGAAAAGGCCTCCATACTTTAGGCAGATGGCATTAAAATGGATTCTTGGATGGGTACTGTCATGAGATATATTGTATCCTTAAATGTATGCTTTCATTGTGAGCCTATAACTTTTAGAAGGCTTTCACTCTGATATGTGATTTAACTCAGCTCAGTTCTGAGGGATGAATGAGTTGTGTACAGCTTGTATTTTAACAGTATAGAAGTAGAAAAGCTGGATACGTGGGAAAGTCCCAGCACTAACTATTTTCAGCTTATTCTTTGTTCAATAGACTCCGGTTCTTTATGCTTTTCGTACGACAACACCATATTTGGTTCAATTCACTTCAAGATAAAAGCAGAGACCAAAAAGAAAGTGATGTACTGAAACTTAATCCACTAAATTACCAGCACACAATGAGATGTAGACTTATTGCAAACATCCTGGTGGCCTTAATTCGGTATTACGTTCTATTTACTTTACTGTGGAGTTGTAATTTCAGTAGAAACCAGCAGTAGTTTTGTCATAAACACACTTTCATGGTTGAAGAGACCCTAATGAGACATATAAGGAGCTATGCACAGAAAACTTATCGCTATTGAAATTATCTATTTGTCACAGTTATGTACAGTTTCAATGCAATACATGCTGCACTATGAACAGAAAATGCTCAGTTTTTGATGGACCTGTGTCAGACTTATCAAAATTCAATGCCCTGTTGCCAAAAGAGGTGAAATAAAACAAAAACAAATAACCCCTAAAGATAGCTTTCACACAATCACAGAGAAACTTAAAACGGTGCAAATCAAGTATTAATGGCATGAACGAAACATTCAAAATTTCAAGATATGCAATATAGGACGAGGCGCTGGCCCCAAGCAGATGTTCATACTGTAACCAGTGTCTGTGGTGCCCTTTGCAGATGTGAATGAGTGCCAGGACCCCTCGTACTGTAAGAATGGGAGGTGTGAGAACACGCCCGGCTCCTTTCACTGTTTTTGCGACCCTCCCTTCACCTTCAGTGCGGCGCTGAAACAGTGCGTCTATGACGGTGGGTAAAATCAGCTCGCCTCAAACCTCAAATTTAGCTTTGGCTTCCTTCCACATCTGCCACTGTTGCCCTTAATGATCGCTCCCAGCGTGTGTACCAATGTGTGCGCTTTATGGTAAATACATCCCACTTTTTCCACTTTGGAGGCATTTTTAACCCTTTTTTAGACACACAAAACACAATTTATCTAGTAAAACATTCAATCTGTATGTTAATTGTGAGAAAAAACAACATTTATTAAAGTCGAAAAGTTCAGTTTAGGCAACTGGACATGAAGTTTTGTAGAAACGTTTTATTAGTTTCTCCCACTTGTATTGTTTCCCCCAAAAAGCTTTTTCTCTTTCCTTTGTGTGTGTAATTGATAAAACTGACTCAGACAGCATCTAAAAACTGATCATTTTAGCGGATTGTTACTTGTATTGCTACTGTTGTTGATAATGTATGCACATGTTATTATAGAAAGTGATTCCTACCTTTCCAAGTTATGAATATGGGTAAAAGGGCTGGTTTCATAGTTTTATTGAATTATTGTAACAAATTTCAATACTGTTAAGGTAATAAATTTGCAATCTTGAAGCATAGTAACCCCCGCACAGATGAGCTGCTGGCTACTCATACTCAGATATCATTTACAGTAAAGTACAGCTTCATGAGCATAGGATTAAATACTTTGTTGGACAATTTTTGGGTAGCATTAACCTAAAGTGTTTGTTTTCTGTGTGGTCTTTGATATCCCTGTTGCAGAAATTCCAGGCCATTTCAAAATGCTTCCTAAGTTAATTGAGGTTTATGGATATTTGTTTATGCAAAGTTCTATTCCAGTCCAACCACAGCATTTCAACCATCTTGAGGTTTGGACTTTGACTTGCAACACTTTGATTCTTTTTTTTTTTTAAGCCATTAACTTGAATGACCGCTCTCTGGTCTTGCTGCAGTTTCAATCTGAGTCAGGCTTTAGCTGTCGGATGCATGGCCTCACATTTAAACAGAATAGTGTGGTTTGCAGAAAAGTGCATGGTGGATTCAATGTCTGCAAGGTGTCTTGTTTTTTCAGAGAATAGTTTTCTGTGAGTTTTGTACTAATCGCAACTTTACAAATCGAAGCTGCTTCTTTTTAGAGAGAAGCAGCTTTCTACTGCAACCTTACCAGGCAAGTCTTTTTCTTATTGTATCATCATTAAATTGAACAGATAGTGTCCTAATTAAGGCCTAACTAATCTGAGGCATAGCCCTTGTTTTTTTTTTCCGGATACTCTCTTATACAAATGGCTTATTAACCCTTCCCAGGTTCATGTTGAGCAGGATGTTATCAGAACCATGTTATGCTTAAAAGGGAATAAACTGCAAGTCCCACTAAGCAGAAACACTCATATGCTCATACCCACTGCAATTTGGCATTCACCTATTTTTCTACTATAGTTGATATGTGTTAAATATTCTTTGACAGACTCCCAAACTGCTACTCCTGAAAGACTCCCAAAGCCTGTACATATTTGAAGTTTTGAAATGGCATATTCTTGATTTCCTGACATTTTTGTGTAAATGCGGTGGTGAAAACAGGACTGATCATTACAGCAGGGATGGCATGCATTCTTGGCCTAGGTGAGGCAAACCCAGGCCCAAAACTCCAGGAAGCCTCCACCATATCATCAAGATGGTTTAAAGCAGTTTATGAGGCTTAGGTCACTTTTTGTACAGTATTTTTTAAACATTCTAAAGAATACCATCATGAACATTAGAATGTCAGTGAGTCATTAGAACAACAGTGGGTCTTAAGTGATTCTTGAAAAGCCTCTCCTGCTGCTTTAAGTACACATTGCACTGCTAATAAAAACAACCTCAAGTCTCATTCTTTCTTCTTTCTTTTTTTTCATTTTTCTCTTTTAACCTAGATCGCACTGCGGCCCACAAGGACGTGTGTTTTATACAGGTTGACGAGGGCCTTATTTGCAGTGACCCTGTGAAGGAACTGGTGGTGACCTACTCAGAGTGCTGCTGTCACTTTGGCCGTGGCTGGGGACCTGAATGTAACACCTGCCCATCCAGAAACTCAGGTGAGCCAAGCGCAGACGGCCAGCATTGCCCTCTGACCACCGCTTCCCTTTTCACGTCCTTAGCTAAGAAAAAAGTCTGCTTTTCTTTTTTAGAGATGTTCAGTCGCCTGTGTGAGATGCATCTGGAGACTGAGTCTGATGGGGAGCCGGATTTTCTGCCAGCTTTCTCCAACTACAACCCAGGTGAAACCACCCTCTGTGAGCCTACACCCATTTGTTTTTTACGTGTGTCTTTCTTTCCCACATTTTCTCATTTGTGTTTTATAACAGGTGACAGTTCAGAAGAGGATTCAGATGAATGCAGCTGTGCAAATGGCCGTTGTGTCCGTTCTTATCTGGGCACCATGTGTGAATGTAACCCAGGCTTTAGGTTAGACCACTCCCGTGCCCGCTGTATAGGTTGGTATTTTTTCATATATGCTTATTTTGTTTTTTTTAAATAGTGCCGCATGCATACCATGATAGATAGAGTCATTTAACAAAAACATGCTCTACTAGCTGAAAGGTTTTGCTTGTAAAGGCACAAAATGAATGATGAAATATCTGATTCTGAGCAAATATTCATAAAACAGATATAGTGTATAAAAGGAAATAGGTAAAACCCAGTAGACATAAACAAATAACTTCAAATTTCAATGAAATGGATAAACATTGTAAAAAAAAAAGTGGACAAAAAGTCTTCCTAAGTGATGTTTAAGACTTGGCTCAACTAAGTCCTGTGGTGTGAAATATATGAAGTGATGGAGGGTTCCTATTTTCTTTATGACTATATGTCTTTCTGCTGATGGATGATGTTTCGTGTTATTTCTTTCCAGCTTACACTTACAAATGAGTGCCTCTTTTTTTCTGTTTTGTTTTGTTTTTGTCCAGACATTGATGAGTGTGCAGAGCCAGGCGCCCGTGTTAATCCCTGCAAGAATGCTCGCTGTGTGAACACTTCCGGTTCTTACAAGTGTTTCTGCAAACACGGCTTCGTGGCCACGCGCAGGCCCAACGTGTGTGCCCGGCGCAGGAGTCGGTAACCTCTGCGTGCCACACTGTTTCTCCCTATCAATGCAGCACACGCCCCGAACACACTGTACGCACCGTGTGTGTTTGCAGCGAACCAAAAATCACGGTTCAGGAGCCACGACATGGCAATGGCTTATATGAGATCTACAAACCACATTAGTATCCGCTTCTTTGTCAGCTGCCATTCAGTTTTTTAAAAAGCAGTCTAAACAGACAAGGAAAATGTTTGTTCATTGGTTAATGATTTTTGTAATTATTGTTTTTTTCTTTAAATGTCTTTGTGGTTTAAGTTTAAATTATAAATTGTGCTCAGTCTCTTTATTGATCTCCCTGTTGTATTGATCTCAATTTGAACCTCTTGTCTGGCGCAGCCTCTCGTTTAATAAGGAAGTGTGTTTGAAACGTCTCAGTCATATTACTTTTGTCTTTCATCCATAGAATATGTGTGTACTGTCGGAATACCACAAGAACTTTATTTGGTATTCCCCTTTACATTCCCATTTCAATCCACATAATGTCATGTTTAATTTGACACTATCTTAAGTGTATTTTCTACAATAATCCCACATTGTTGACTTTGTGTAATTGTACAGTTTGTTCAGTGGCGTGGCCCCCGACCACCGCTGTTTATTTGTTTGTGTAAAATATGAGAAAACTGAGGGTTTTGTATCATTTGACATGTGCACCTATGTGGACTTACAGGAAAAGGAATAATGTTCATGCACTAAGCAGTGAATGCAGTTGGAATATTTACTAAATATTGCTTCTTCTGGATAGCCCAGAAAGTTGACCGATCTGTTTTCATAATTGCTCCATTGAAGTATTTAGAAAACCAAAGACGCTGTTGTGATAAGATGAAATTAAATAAAAAAGTATTTAAAATTCATGCTTCTGTGGTCAGGGTGTTCAAATTGTGTCCATACATGAAGACAAGGTAAATAGATTCGACATAGATAAATTATGTTTATTACTCTCCGTAATGAGACAGAGAAATGTGTTTTAAGTTTTCTTTTAAACTAAGTAAAGCCTATATAAACCTACCAACTACCTTTCCCTTGGGAAAATATTCAGGTTTAAGCCTCAAATAGACTAAATAAATAAATGACATAATTTTATAATGTGTCCCTAGAGAGTCAGTGCATTTTAGAATAACTCACACATCAATGTGCATCAAATATCAATAACAAATGAAAAGCAGGACAGCTTTACAGCTTTAAGTGCACAGTTGTTCATTTTTACAGGCACAACAGTGTCATTCATTGTGCCTAAGAGTGTATGAATTATCTACATTTAAATCACGTTTAGAGTAAAAATCATTAAAGGTTTTATTGCTTTCACTCCACTTTCAGCTGGGTAAACTATTAAGTCATATGAATGTTTCCATTTATTGTGACTTTTGCAGGTTCATAAAAACAGGTGGAAATAAACAACTAGGTCTTCCACAAGAGGGAGCTCTTGTGGAAGAAAAAGAAGGCCAGTAAACATGTGCACAATCAATCCACAATGGAGAGTCTGTTGAAAAGGAGTAGCAGTAGGATTAGGGAAAGGTTAGAGATTCTGAAGTGTGCAGGTGCAGGGAATCAAATGGATGAGCACTGGAATACACACACTCTCTGTAGTGAATGCTCCAATTGTATTACATCCCCATTCGAAAATAGTGAAGAAAGATACAGTTTTGTATTTATAAACTTCACTGTAGTAATTTTGGTCATTGTTTTTCTTTTCTTTCTGTTATCATTGTAAATCAATATTTTCTCAGATTTTCCAACATAATTGGTCACTTCGAATCAGAAATAGATGAGTTAAAGATGCAGCTGTCTGTCATGCAGAGTTTCGAAGAACATGAATGAGTCCACTGTTTTATCACATGATTCACCTTGGTTAACTGTCTGTGAAAGAAAGCTTGTTCTGATTTGCACACCAGAAAAAAAAGGTTGTCAAAACTAAAAAAAAACAAAAAACCTCATGTTCTCTCGTTCCCCAGACCCATAGATGATCTTCATCTTGTGAGCTCAGTGAGTCACGTTGCACGAGAGTGGCACCACTGCTCCTTGCTGTCCTGGTTTCATTCTGTCTAATAATTATATAATTTCAAAGTGGAACAACAGGGTGACCTCCAGCAACTAGTTTAGGGAGAGACAGAGATAAGAATCGGGCCATGAGAGGCAGGGGATGAGCAAGAACCATAACAGAAATAGCATAGCTGTCCTTGGGAGACTGCTCAGAAAACTGGTGTCGGGGATATAAAAATATACAAAGCAGGTCACACTGACCGGAACATAACCCACTGGGTAACGGTGGCTGCAGACAGCTACTAAACTTTGTTGCTCCGGTACAACCTGTGCTGGCTTTGTGAGACAAATGTGACACAGACAGGCAAGGACAATGCTAAAGAAAACAACGTGTCTCCCACATGCCACCTGGCTAACGCAGACCTCGATTAAGCCTCAAATGTTGACATTTAGTGTGCGGTTTCATAACAACTGCACGACTCTGTGGTAATGAATTAGATTAAGCCACTCAGCTCGTAGCTTCAGAATGGTTCAGATATTAATATTCATGTATTCTCAGCAGCTGATTTATACTTAGTGCAGTGAAAGGCAGAGGCGAGATGAAACATGTAAAAGTAGGTTTTTAATGATCTTCTCTTGGGAAATCTGGGGACATAGTGGTTGATTGATGACAATACATTCAGAATAGGTTATATACATGGAATAAAAAGAGAGCTAAAACTGATTGAATATGAAACTGAGGTTGAATATGAGGTTGAAACTTTTGAATAAATGTTGAGCAAAATGATAAAGATTATTATCACTTGCCAAATTTGGATAAAGTGCTTCTGAAAACAACATGGAGGCCTTATAAGGAGGCAGCATCACCTATGCCTTTCACACAGTTAAAACAAAATGCTGTCCATTTATATTTGGGTAGAGACTGTAATAGCTTTAAAATATCAGATTTAGGCATCTCCACATGCAGAACAGAAATGATTTATTGGAAATTGTTTGAATTCAGGTGTAAATAAATCCCACAAGTGCCGTACGTATCTAATCTGTGATTTAAATCTTGGAATAGATCTGTGTGGCTTTTAAATCAGTTTCTATGCGCCCCTACCCCAGACACTCGAGTCAAAGGCAGCACAAAGACCCCCTCCGTCAGCCAGGATTGTGGTCACATGACTCAGCTTTAGGGTTGGGAATATCATCCAGACTCCTGCAATGTGCATGGAGTCGGAGGGGGAGAAAAATCATTTCCATCCACCACTGAAAGAATACGGTCAAGCAAGCTCGGCCAAACACCACCCCCAACGCCATCCTGGTCACTGCCTGCTCCGCTGATGACCCCCAACTTCCACATCCCATCTATAGTGAGTGGACAGAGGGGGGTTTAGCTCAAACTGCTGCAATCTGCAGAAATCACTGTGCTGGACACACTCTGGCAGCCAGTGGCAGCCTTATGTCCTGCGCTCAGCTCTTTCCCTTTGTCACCGTGGATTGTGGATGAGCCCTGTGCGTGGGTGGGGGGTCTGTGAGCCGAGGCGGAGACGGGGCTCGGGGATGTAAACAGGCTCTGAGCATGTCTGCCATCAGTGCTGACACACAAACATGCAGCACACATCACTTTTTTTTTAATAGTGGGGTCTTCTCTTTTATCATTATACTTGAACGCATTGCATGTGGATTCGCAGTCATTTAGGAAAAAGAAAAGGAAAGATTAAAATCCACCTGAACTTTTTTCAAGTCTTCTATCAGTCAATAGGCCACAAACAGCATGATGTGTGAACTAAATGTAATCATCTTTGACCCGGTGGAGGTTTCTGTGAACTTAGAAGGTTGATTGCATTGAATAGGGAATTACAACTGCACTGCTACTGAAACAATCTAAAAAACCAAGTGTTGAGTTTGAGGAAGATGCAGTCTGTCTGTGTACATATTTAACCGTGCATTAGTATCTAATAGCTTAAAGTGGATTTTTTTTAACCTCATCTATACTTGTGGTTACTTGCTCCAAATATGGAATTTAGCTAAATGGCTTCATTTAGACAAAAGCATGTCTCATGAGATGAGTGTCCGTGATCCCTGGCAAAGGAATACATATGGACCTTAGTTTAGAATTTCAGCTTCTCAACATTTTGGAGCCTCATCTACTGTTGGTTTTTTGTTTCCTAATGCACCAAACATTTTCAGTGGGACAGAGTTGGGCTACAGGCAGGTCAGTTCAGAAGCTGAACTCTTATTATTGGGACAGTTTGTGCATGGTGAGATTTAGTGTTGTATCTGGTGTTGTAAGACAAAACCTTCAGAGGAAAATATTTATTTGGAAGGCAGCCTGTGCTGCTGAGATACAAGTTTTTTAATTGCCTTAATGGTGATTTTAACATGTGTACAAGTTGAAACACACACTTTTTGTTTTTCACATGTTTGTAATGACCATTTGACAGATTCTGTGTTTTCTTCTTCATTTTGAGAGTAGGTTGGTCAATGCATCCGAAAAAAAACCCTATGATGTGAGAATCTGTATATCGGTGACCGGTGAAGCATAAAGATACTTGATATAATGTCTATCATTTGGAAGCCATTGTCTTAACCTTACTCCTCTCCTCTCCTCTCACATCTTTTTTATCCTGTCAGGATCCTGACCTTTTGCCAATCAACCTAATTTGTTGGAAGCGGCTGTGCCAAATGCTCCTGTCAGGTCCTTGTACTCACAAAAAAGAAGGGCTAAACGAAAGATACCGATAGAGTGAAATGCATGCTGAAGTCTCAGTGATCACAAAATGGCAAATGAAATGAGAATATGTCAGCAGTAATGATAAAGTATGCAATATCAAATGTTACACAGCAGCTGAAACGAATGGACTGGTTTTTGGTTCGAGGCTTATCTGAACACTAAACCCAGGCCTCTGATTACTTTTGCTGACAGAGGTATGTGTCACCTTACTTTCAGCCCTTCTGGAGAGTGTCTGTTGAGTCAGGTGCTTTGCAAAAATATCGTATAGATAACA